GGGAACTCTTGTTCTTGGCCATTGTTAATTATCTGGTGATCCTTGCCCTGCAAAACATTCTAAGATTGATCCAAAAATTTCAGGCACAACCCAAGGTGCTGTCGTCATTGGTTAACCTGTGATTGCTTCACGCCTATGTAATTTGTCATGCTTTGCTTGGTAAATGGGGAGGAAGTGGATTTTGCTGCTGTCCTCTCTGCTCCTAAGGGAACAAAGAGAGGCTCTGATTGGCTGAGGCCTCTGGCCAATGCTCAGGTACTATGAGGAAGGCTAGTCCTTATCAGGAGGTTTCACTGGTAAATCTCAGGGGGACATCATGATGCAGAGAGGTCTCAGATGGCTGAGGGGGCCCAGACTTGAAGCACCCTTTCTCCAAGCCCTAGCTGGCCAGCCCTGGCCATCCAAGTCTGCCTGGAGGCCAGCCCAGCCCATCACTGTGAGTATGCGCTTTCCTCATCAGATGCCAGGTAGCTGTGAGGCTTGTCATAGACTCCCAGAAGGGGAGAGCTGACAGGGACCTTAGATGATGTATGTTCTACTGGTCTCCTTTGACACATGAGGACACTGAACTCTGGAAATACAAGGTGGCCTGCCCAGGGTCATAGCACTGCCTGGTAGAACAGAGACTGCAAGCCAGCACTCTTGATATTTAGAAGGTGCTAGCTCATTCCACTTGGCTCTGTTATTCCATATGGAGGGCAGAGACTTCTTTTCTTTCTTTCTTTTTTTCTTTTTTTGGAGAGGTTTTTTGCTATAGGGCACGTGCACTCACCAGAAAGACACAGAGAGACAGAAAGAAAAATCACTCTCCCAGGGGAATGGCCATGCACCAATCCCTTCTCCTCCATTCTCCCCTCGGGATCTTGGGCACGCACGAACACGTGCCCGGCGTGAGTTTAAGCCACTGGGTCTAGGACTCAAACTGCGGTCGACTACGTGGGAATTCAGCAACATAGCCATTACTCCAACTGCTGGTCCCAAGGGCAGGGTTTTCAACATGATGCTGCTGGGGACTTAGAGACAGCATATGCAGGCCTCCCTAGTCTCACTGACTCTTTGGACCCCTTACAGTTTCTGCAGAATTTATCTGATAACAGAAATCTGGGTTGCCAATCCTAGAGTGAGCAGAATTAGAGAAAGAAAATCTAAGTAGCAGTGGCTGGAGAGAAAGCAGTCATTGTATTCTAAGGAGATTTTCCAGACCAAAAAGGAGTGTGCAAAATTAAAAACCAATTGTGTGCAAATTAAGTGCTAGTGAGTAGCAAGAATTGGATGTCGCTCCTTCCCTATGTTCATGAGTAACCTCATTCCAAAAGGATTGTAGTCTAGGCTTTAATATGACTAGGGCTAGGAAAGAATCCTTTGAGATTGAACGAGAGAAGAGATTTTTCTTGTTGGATTCTGTTGAAGTTAATCTTGGAATGCTTGTTCTGGCTAGGGTTCTAGGCCGGGTACCTTCGCCTGCCATCATCTCACCTCATATTCACAGCAACCCCCAGAGCCAGTGGTGGTATTCTTATTTCACAGATTGAGAAACCAGTGGTCAGAGCAGTGTAATAGAGGGAAGTTTTGGAGACTGCATTCAACTCTGAGGTTCCATCCATTAGCTTAGCAAAGAAGAGCTCCCTTCAGGAGGGCAGTAAGGATTGGCGATCATTCCTGGGTGTTAGCAACCCATCCCCAGTCTACCTGCTGTAAGAGCCTGTCTGACCGTAAAGAATTCAAGAACCTGTATTTTTCTTCATCTGTAAAGGTAGAAAAAGGCATATAGAGTGAGCCGTAAATAAGCCAGATAAATGCACCATGAAAAGAAAAAACTGCATTAATAACAGGAAGACCCAATGTGCCCCAGTGAACACAAACAATAGCCAGGGAGTTGCCAGGAGAAGGTGCTGCCCGATGATGGACTATTCGGGATTCCTGAAGGAGGGCTGGGTACCAAGACGCAGCCTTTCCCCTACCTGCCAGAGGAAGGAACCTGGGGTTGACCCTTCTGACTGTCATGGAGCAATAATGAGGCCAGTGAAACTAAAGAGAAAACCAAGATGAACCATTTTGACTTGAGGAACAGGAGAGGGAGGCCAGTGGAGTTGGCAGCTGAAAGGGAAGAGGCAAGAAAAAGATTCTTTCAATCGTAGATCAGCCAGGTTCCCCAGCGTCACTGAGGCTTGTCCGGTTCGTAATTAGTGGTGTTTATGTTGAGATCCTTCTAACACGCAGACATGACCATTTCAATCTTCCGCTTAAAACTCTTCTGGATAAAACCAAATCTTTTAACATGGCTGGTCAGGTCTTGACTTTCTCCCTGGCCTCCTTCCTTGCCCATGTCTTCTCTATGGACATTTTCCTTTCTTCAGTCCTGGGACTCTGCATTTATCCATGTTCTACTTGTAAAAACAGGTCTATTAAATAAAGGCTCAAGGGACCAGCTGTTAGCATAATGGCTATGTCGCTGGACTCCCATGTAGTCGACCATGGTTCGAGTGCCGAACCCGGTGGCTTAAACTCACACTGGGCACGTGTGCGTGTGTGTCCAAGATCCTGAGAGGAGCATGGAGGAGAAGGGATTGCAGCATGGCCATCCCCCCTGGGGGGTGATTTCTCACTTTCTGTCTCTCTGTCTTTCTGGTGAGCGCATGTGCCCTATAGCAAAAACCTCTCCTAAATAACTAAATAAAGGCTTGAAGGAATGAGTCGGATGGGAATTGTACCGGGTACAGCCTGCTGCCTCTTGTGGAATTTGCAGATTTCAAGGAGTGGCCGCCTCCAGCTGGATATAAAGGATTACTCCCTCCCCAATGCCAGCTGGAGCCCCATCATGGTGGAGCTCTACAATGAGCTCATGAAGAAGACCACGGATGGGTCATGGACGCGACTCCCAGGCTGCCCACGCTCTGTGCAATTCCTTAAGGAAGCAGACCTTGCGAAGATTGCTAAGACTGTGCCGGGTATGTCCAAACCCCCTCCAACAGCAATGCTTCACCTGTGCCCCAATCCATCCCCTACACTTTCTAGGTGGCTTGCAAAGCCTAAGCATCGGGACCGAGGCAGGCTGGACATGGATATCCTGGACTCCTATTTGGCCAGAAAAGGAAGTGGAGGACACTTAGTTCAACCTCCTCATGTTACAAGTGAGAAAACAACAGTGGGCCAGCCCCATGGCTGAATAGTTAAGGGAGCCAGATCCCACATTGCAGACCATGGTTCAACTCCCAGCTCTGGCTGCTTAAAAAACGTGCTGGGAGCATGTGCACACATGCCCAAAATATCAACAGGATGGAGGAAAGGAGAAGAAGGGATTGTGGTGTGACCCATGAGTGGGTGCTGTCTCCCTCTCCTCTGTCTCTCAGGCAAGTGCATACACTCTCTGGTGAGAGAGACAGAGAAAGAGAAAGAAAAAGAAAGAAGGCAAGGAAGGAAGAAAAGGAAAAAGATAGAAAAGAAAAGAAAACAGGAAGAAAAGAGCTAGAAACTGAGGCGTAGAGGGAGCACAGTGAATTTGTGCCTGAAACTGGACTAGCATCAGGAATCCCGACTCTGGGTCAGTGCTCTCTAAACAGACAACAGTCATTCCTGGCATCTCCTTACGTCTGTCCACTCCACATAGTGTCTTGTGTAGACCAGACAGGTGCAGTGCGAGTGAGGAACTGGGAAGAGACAGCGTCAGGATTTAAGGGTCAGTGCCTTCATTCTGTGTCCACTGCCAGTGGGATCCCCACGTATCTTACTGACACTCAAGGGCACTCGCCAGCACCTGCTGGGAACAGGACACATGGTCTCTCTAGTGGTCAGTCTGAGCTGAGATTCTGAATGGGCAAAGAAGAACGGAAGGAGAAGATGGAGTGTGGCGTAAGGGAAGAATGGCCCTCTGGGGGCCAGCAGGTGGCATAGTGGTTACTGTGCTGGACTCCCACATGGCCAACTGTGGTTGGAGTCCTGGACCTGGTGGCATGAAAAATCATACCGGGCACGTGTGTGCACATGCCCGAAATCCCAGGGGGAAAATGGAGAAGAAGAGATTGTGACTTGGACACCCCCCTGGGGGGGTGATTTCTTACTTTCCCTCTCACTGTCTCTCTCCAGTGAGCACATGCACCCTATGGCAATAACCTTTAAAAAAAAAGGATGACACTCGGAACTCCTAATTTTACATACCTAATCCATCATTAGAAATTCTACTTAGAGATTCTTGGTAAAATATAGGTGTTTGAAAAGTATTTAGATTTTTTTTTTTTTAATGATAGAGAGTACACACATCCCCATGAGAGAGAGAAAGAGAGACAGAGACAGAAATACACCCTCAATAGGGTCTCATCACACTTTCCTTTCCTCAGTGTTCCAGCTCCTCGGGATCCCTGGGTGCCTACGTGCACAGCAATGTGCTTTCGAGCTGCCCTGGGGCTTCAGACTGGTGGTTGGCCATATGGTGTCCAACTTCAGGGCACTTGCATTTTTGTTGTGCCACTGTTTCTGGGCCAGCGTGGAATTTTAGGTATTGTAGGTTTTGCTCTTGACCTCTGGTTAAGACCCATAAACCCTCCCAGTTTCTTTTTGGAGGTCATATCATGTAGACAAATCTCATTGAAACAAATATCAAATGTGTGGGAGTTAGAGAGGAGACAAATTTGTTTATTTTACAGAAAGGTTTTTTTTTTTTTTTTCCTGCTTGTTACTTGGTCTGACCAAAACAGTGCCTTTCAGATGAGTATTCCCTAGTCCTTGATAAGATCCGCTGAATCCTGATTTCCTCGGTGAGTCACTCCTCCTCCCTAACCTGACATTGCTGATCTCTTTCTCTCTGGGAAGCTGTTCTCTGCTCTAAGACTGCAGGGGGCCATTCCAGAAGGTACAGAGAGGATATTGAAGGCAGGGTTTTCCTGATGACCTCTTCTGGTCAAGCAGCTTCAGCCTTGGAGATCTGTGCCACCCAAAAGGTCAGACTCCAGCCTGAGGTCCCTCTCATTGACTCAGTTCTTCTCTCTAGTCCAAGAGATAGAAGATGCCCGGCTCTTTCTCCGGTTCACAGAGATGGAGAGACTTGGTTTTGAGTATGTTATCTTCCACAATGATTCAGAGAAGAAGTGTGTCTGCTTGTTCCAGCCTGGGCCACTTCTGGAAGGATTGCCTGGGTAAGCTACGGAGGACATTCCTTGCCAGTCACTCATCTGGGCTTTTTCTTGATCCAAGAGGGGAGTCTGGAGGTGGCAGTGGCAGTGAGGCCAGCTGGTAGGTCCATGGCTGCTTTGGCAGGTTTCTATTTACTAAGCACAGGGGGACATGTGTCTTATTCTGCCTGCTCCAGGGACAGGAAGGATCCTCCAGTCGCCTACCCAAGGTGGGGCCCCTCACTTTTGGGAAATGCTTCCTCATTGATCTTTAAGCTCCTAAACAGCACTAAACAGTGAACATTAAAAATGAGAAAGGAGAAACTATGCTTGTCCAGTAGCTGCTGCATGCTAGAACCTGTGCCAAGCAATTTGGCACTGCTAATCTAGTGCTCATGAAACTCCTCAATGGAGCCTTTACTTCTCTGCATTTTATAGATAAAGGAACAGATATCCCAAGTAATTGTGGGACTGAGTCTGTGTGTCTAGATGTGTGGGTTTCAGAGTTAGGTCTCTGCCCGCAAAGCCCAGGCTGGTTTCACTGCACCATTCTGCTCCCTCTTGAGACTAAACCAAGAAGAAACACAGGATATATCAGAATTTGAGGTTGAAGCTGGCCGTGGAGTGGAGGCCTTCATATTTCACTTTGAATAGCTCACCCTCTCCAAGGGTGAGCTGCTTTAGATAAGCTCGCCTGATTTCCCCTTGGAGAATTTTTTTCTTCCTCCTCCTCCTCCTCCTCCTCCTCCTCTTTCTTCTTCTCCTTCTTTTTCTCCTTCTCCTTCTTCTTCTCTTCCTTCCTCTTCTTCCTCTTCTTCTTCTCCTCCTCCTTCTTCCTCCTTCTTCTTTTCCTCCTCCTCTTCCTCCTCTTCTTCTCCTTCTTCCTCTTCTTCTTCCTCTTCCTCTTCTTCTCCTTCTTCCTCTTCTTCTCCTCTTCCTCCGCCTCCTTCCTCCTCCTCTTCTTCCTCTTCTTCTTCCTCTTCCTCTTCTTCTCCTTCTTCCTCTTCTTCTCCTCTTCCTCCGCCTCCTTCCTCCTCCTCTTCTTCCTCTTCTTCTTCCTCTTCCTCTTCTTCTCCTTCTTCCTCTTCTTCTTCTCCTCTTCCTCCTCCTCCTCTTCTTCTTCCTCTTCTTTTTTCTCTTCCTTCTCTTCATCTTCCTCCTCCTCCTCTTCTTCTTCTTTTGCAGATGGTACATGTGCTCACCCAAGAGAGAAACAGAGAGGGCAAGGGAGAGGAGAAAATGTCCCTATGGGGCATGGTCACTGCACAGTCTTCTCTCCACTTCTCTACCCTGTCGAGATTAGGAGCACACATGCCTCATGTATTTGTTGTTTTTTTTAGAGTTTTGTTTTTGTTTTTGCCATAGAGCACATGTGCTCACCGGAGAGACACAGAGAGAGAAAGTGAGAAATCAACCACCCAGGAGGGATGGCCACACCACAATCCCTTCTCCTCCATTCTCTTTTCCTGTTTTTGGGTACGCATGTATATATACCCAGCATGATTTTCAAGTTGCTGGGTCCAGGATTCAAACTGCAGTCAGCCATGTGGGAATCCAGTGGCTTAGCCACTATGCCTACCACCTGCTGGCCCTGGCTCATGTATTTTTCAAGCCACTGGGGTGGAGATTTGAACTGTGATCAGCCATGTGGCACCCAGCTTCCTTAACCACTAGGCCACAGGGCTAGCTCTTCTCTTGCATCTCTTTTGTTCTTATTCCTCTGCTCGACCCTGAGTGATCCAAGACTCTGGTCCCATTTGGCAGGGAACCCGCTAGCCTGTCACCTCCCAAGCGCCTGACTGTGCAGAGCAGTAACAATTTCTTTTCTTTCCCTGTCATTGGGCTCTGCAGGATTATCCATGGCGGTGCACTGGGGACCATGATAGATACCACGTTTTTCACGACAGCATATAACAGCGCCAATGCCGTCTTCACAGGGACAATGACCATCAAATTCAAGAGGTCTGTTTCCTTGCCTGAATTTAAGCTAGGAAGAAGCCGGTATGGGGGGCGGGGAGTTAACCCATGTGTCATGGTGGAAAATAGGGGTTTGTGCGGTCATCTCACTTCCACAAGGAGCCTCTGCTTGTGCTTTTCACATGGACCGATTTAAATTCTTCAGATGACCTTCCTTCATCCACGGACAAGACCACGAGGTCGAAGGTGGTTTGTGTTCAGGCATCATAGTTATACATGGAATTATTTTTTTAATAATTATTTATTTTATTTTTTATTTATTCATTCATTTATTTTTTAATTT